TGAGTGAAACCATCCAGTATTTTTTCTTTTTCTTTCTGGCTTATTTCGCTGAGCATGTTCCCTTCCAGCACCATCCATGTTGCTGCAAAGTGCATGTGTTCATCTTTTTTGAATGCTGAGTAATATTCCATTGTGTATATGGACCACATCTTTTTTTTTTAAACTTTGTTTTTATAGAGGCATGTTTTATTTATTTATTTGTTTGTTTGTTTTGTTTATACATGCACTGGGTACAGTCAGAAGCGCGGGAGGGTGAGAGAATTCACCAGAGCTAGAGCGGGGAGCAGAGCAGGCAGAAGGACCGAAGTACACTGCTGAGGGGAGCAGCGGGTGGCAGGAGAGGTCTGCGCGCCATGTGGGACCCTCCTCCAGTGGCCGGGGAGCAGCCGGGGATCGAACCGGCGCGCAGAGGCTGCGGGCAGCTTCGCAACCCAGCGCTCAACCGCTGCGCCACCGGGGAGGCCCTGGACCACATCTTCTTGATCCAGTCATCTATTTTTGGGCATTTGGGTTGTTTCCAAAGCTTAGTTATTGTAAATAGTGCTGCTATAAACATAGGGGTGCAGGTGCTCTTTGGAATTAATGTTTCTGTGTCCCTTGGGTAAATACCTAGGAGTGGATCATATGGAAGCTCTTTCTTTAGTAGGTTGAGGAATCTCCACACAGCTTTCCATAGTGGTTGGACCAGTCTGCACTCCCACCAGCAATGCAGGAGAGTTCCTTTTTCTCCACATCCTTGCCAACATTTGTTGTTGCTAGTTTTTTTTAATATGTGCCATTCTCACTGGTGTGAGATGGTATCTCACTGTAGTTTTGATTTGCATTTCCCTGATTGCAAGTGATGTTGAACATTTTTTCATATGCCTGTTGGCCATTTGTATTTCCTCTTGGGAGAAGTTTCTTTTCAGCACTTCTGCCCATTTTTTGACTGGATTATTTTCTTTGTTTTTGTTGAGTCTCATCAGCTCTTTGTAGATTTTTGTGATCAGTCCTTTATCATTAGTGTTGTGTGCAAAAATGTTCTCCCAGTCGGTGGGGTTTCTCTTTATTTTTGTTATTGTCTCTTTTGCTGTGCAGAAGCTCTTTAATTTGATGTAGTCTGTTTATCTTTGCCTTCACTATCACTGCTTTGGGCGATGTGTCTGTAAAGATGTCTTTGAGGTGCATGTCATGTAGTGTTTCGCCTATATTTCCTTCTATATATTTTATGGTTTCAGGTCTTATGTCTAGTTCTTTAATCCATTCTGAGTTGGTTTTTGTGCATGGTGTGAGGTAGTAGTCAAGTTTCATTCTTTTTCATGTAGAGACCCAATTTTCCCAGCACCATTTATTGAACAAACTTTCTTTGCTCCAGTGCATATTCTTTGCTCCTTTGTCAAAGATTAGTTGACCATAAATCCGTGGGTTTATTTCTGGGTTTTCTATTCAGTTCTATTGGTCCGTGTGTCTGTTCTGGTTCCAGTACCATGCAGTTTTGATTATTATGACTTTGTAGTATAGTCTGAAATCTGGGAGAGTGATGCCTCCATTCCCTTCTTTTTTTTTCAGGATTTTGGCTATTCGGGGTTTTTGGTGTCTCCATATGAATTTCATCAATAATTGTTCTATTTCTTTGAAGAATGATATTGAAATTTTAATTGGAATAGCACTGAATCTTGCTTTTGTTAGGATGGGCCTGCCCTTCTTTGTATCTTGGCATCACCTCTTTCAGGTCCTAGGAGCTTTCTCCTCCGAACTACCACCATCTCCAACTTCCTACTTTGCCCTGATAATTCTGTCTGGCTCCTAGTACAGCAGGGTGCTGCTGGATCCAACCTGGAATCAGATCAAGCTGGACTCAAACCTGGCTCTACCTGTCACTCAAGAGGTCTGAGTTCTGTAGACTGGCTTCCAATTTGGTCTTCTCTCCAGGTTTCTGCTCAATAGTTCCCTCCTCAGAGAAGCCCTCCCTGATTGCCTAACCACCACTCTCTGACCCTTCCCTTGCTTTAGCTTCCTTTACTTTCCTCCAAGGCCTCCTAGGACCTCCAGCAGATGTCTACATGCATGTGTGTACTTGTCTACTGTGTGTGTGTTCCACTGGGGTATAAGCCCCATGAGGATAGGGACCTTGATATTTTGTTCGTGGCTATACCACTGAGTGCCCAAAATGGTGCCTGACACACAGTAGGCTCTCAATAAATGCTTGTTGAAAGAATGAATGAATGAATGAATGAATGAATGAATGAATGAAATCAAAGTCCCAGAAAAGCAGATGTGAAGAGACCAAGCATGAGCCCAAAACCAGAGGAGAATTCCTCAGCCCTAGGGCACAGAGACCTACCCCACTGGAAATAATCAGGTGAATTCCCTTCCTGCTTTTGTTTGAAACAGAAAAGACCAAAATGAAATGCACACTAAGCATTCATTTGGTCAGCTGGACTGACTTCGCCAGTGTGTTGAAGGTCATATTTCGTTGGATTTCACCCTGCATTTGAAAGCAAAACAATTCGCATTTGAAAATCTCATTACCAGCATCTTCCCTCCAAATCCATTAACAGTGTGAGTGTTTCTGGCAACCGAGATCACCTTGGATTATAGTATGAAATGCAGCTCTGGGGAAAACTGTGTGTTTCAAGATGTTTGTACCATTCAATTGTCAAATATTCACACGGTTATGATTCTCAAAGAAAGCACACAATGTAGGGAAATTGGTAACAAAATAAAGGCTCCAGGATGTATTGAGAGAAGGCAGCCAAAGGATTCCTCCCTGACATGCCTAATCCCGGGGATGGGAAATTAAAAACCGTGCCAGAATATCAATGCCTCATCCGAAGGAAGGTTTGCTTTTCCTGAGCGAGAGTCCAGGCATTGCCCTGCATAGCAACGACACCCTTCTTCACAGGACCTTCAAGTCTCCCTCAGGCGACCCCTAGCCCCATCTCACACATGCTGGCCCCTCCTCTCCCACCCAGACTCAGGACCAGCCAAGGTCAGCTATTCACTAGTCCCTGGCTCCATGTAATGACTTCGCTTGTCTTGGTGATGTTGGGTGACTTCACAGACACTAGAGCTAGAGAGGTTCTGCAAGATGGAAAATGAAATTAAAAATTTAAAAAAGGTGGGGTTCTAGAAAGGAAGGAGTTTGCGAACCACCACATAAATTAACTTCCCCTCAGAACTTTTCGATTCACACAGGCATGGGCAAGCCTCTGAGATGCTGCATAGTCAAGAGACCTGTTTATATTATTTAACCTAGCACTGCCCAAACTTAGCCATGCAGCCTCTGATCTCATAACATAAGCAGTTCAAATCCTATAGAAAACCAGGGTACCAACTGAAATCCTGTTCTTTCAATAAATGAGGAAATTGAAGAATGGGGAAGCTTCAACACTCAGTGTTTAACCACCCACTTATTAGTTTAACTCTCGTCCCTCCTCCCTCCTCTAGTCCCCCACTTTTCCAGAAGCATCACCCCACAAACAAATCTCAGCCATTCAGTCTCTGTCTTAGGACCTGCTCTTAGGAAGAATCAAACTAAGACAGCAGGGCAACTGGTCTGTTAGTGAGAAGCCCCCAGGAGTGTTCAAACGGGCTTGTGTTTGGCAGGTGCTGGTATATAAGGGCAGCCTGTTCCAGGGTCAGGGTGGAAGAGGACAGGTCTCTAAGAGAAGGAACTACGTAACCCCTCCCCAGAAGATGCCTTGCCAAAGCAACCTTGTTAACAAAGTCTGATGCACAAATCTTGCCAAAAGAAATAGGCATTGGAAGTCCTGGGATTAACCTGCTGGGTTTGTCTTAATGAAATACCACAGACTGGGTAAATCCAACAACAGAAATTTATTTTCTCATAGTTCTAGAAGCTAGAAGTCTGAGATCAACATGAGCAGCAGACTTGTTTCTGATTCTACTCTCTTTGGCTAGTGGATAGCCATCTTCTATGTGCATCTTCACACAGCCTTTTCTCTTTGTGTTTCTGTGTCCTGACCTCTTTCTGTAAGGAACCCAGACACACAGGCCTCCTCCACTATCCAAAAGTAGAACATTCCTAGTTGGTATGACTTGGTGGGTTATTTCTGGGCCTGGGAACTATTACCGTTAATGTATATGGAAAAAATTTTGCACCTACCAACCTGTCTCGCCTGCTGCTCCCCTCAGTAGATCTGCCTATTCTGCTCCCCACTCTGTCTCTGGTGAATCCTCTCACCCTCTGCACTTCTGGCCTATACCCCAGTACTTGTATGCATAAATAAATAAAATAAAATCATTCTTTAAAAAAAAAACAAAAAAAAACATGAGCTATCAGGGCCTGGATGGGGGAACTTGTACTAGATTAGGACCCACCCATATATTTTACCTTATTTTCTCCTTAAAGGTCCTGTCTCTAAATACAGTCATATTCTGAGATACTGGGAGTTTGGAACTTCAATACATGAATTGTCATGCTTATATGGTACGAATTCAGCTCTCACCGGACCCCAAGAGATGATCACCCCCAAGCTAAACAAAGGAGTCTGAACCCACCCTTCGTGAGGTCCTAGACATGACCATGCTTGGTCAGGGAGACAGGCAAGGAGGGATAATGAAGCCTGAACTGAGTCAAAACTGAAGTGGCAGGAGGGGAGTTTGTGAAGTCAAAGTCACAGCAAGAATTTGACCCACTGGTGGGTCTGGTCCTATTTCTATGGAAATGAACTCATTAGGGGTAAATCTTTTTCAGCTCCTGCTTGATTCATGAAGTGGTCTCGAATGTTGATAATCACTTCATGAATCACTCACAAACACGAAAGTCAAATATCTGGCACTTGGGGTTGCCGCCTCTTCTGATGAGCATTCCTGCCATGTTTTGGGGCATCCCCCTCCCAGCAACCAGGTGTGCAAAACAGAGACGTCCTTGGTCCTGTGCCAGCGTCTCCCGCTTCAGTAATTCCACACTGCCGTTTTGCCAGGCAGCGAATCTCCCCTATACAGTGAATAATCACACCTGAATTAATTCTGAAAGATAACTTCGAAACACTCACCATGTTGGTGAGCTCTCAGGCCCCACAATCCTGTCCCTGAGGGAAGTAACAGGGTGTCCCGGGATCCATGTTCCTGTCCAAAGAAGAATCTGCTTCAGTCAGGCTATAAGCAAAATATGGCCATTCCTTTCAGAAAAAGATTGAATTCCCATCTTTCACACAGACCCCAGACCTCGAAGAAAACAAGAACTGAAGGATCAGACTGTGGAGATATCCAGAAATCTTCCACATTGCATTGGAGCACAAACGATGGAGCCTCCACACCTAAAGGCTGCTTGGCTTGAGATAGAGAGACCAGCAACTTAGAAGCAGAGTTGCCTTAAAATCAGATACCCTCCAGGGCCTCTTTGGTGGCACAAGGGGTTAAATCTCCCACTATGGAGCCGTTGGCAGCCACTGCAGCATGAGTTCAATCCCCGGCCAGGGAGGTGACCCACATGGCACAGCAAACCTCTCCGGTCTTGCCCGTTCCTCCCCTCAGCAGTATATTTCAGTAGATCTCCCCATTCTGTCTCTGGTGAATCCTCTCACCCCCTGCACCTCTGGCCTACAACCCAGTTCTTGTATGTATAAATAAACAAAAAAAAATCTTAAAAAAAAAACAACTGGGGCCTCCCCAGTGGCGCAGCAATTGAGCACTGGGCTGCGAAGCTGCCCACAGCCTCTGCAGCGCCCATTTGATCCCCGGCCATGGGCGAGGGTCCCACATGGCGCATAGACCTCTCCTGCCGCGCCCGCTGCTCCCCTCAGCAGTGTACGTTGGTCCTTCTGCCTGTTCTTCTCCCCACTCTGGCTCTGGTGAATTCTCACCCTCCCACGCTTCTGACTGTACCCAGTGCTTGTATAAATAAATAAATAAATCTTAAAAAAAAAAAAAAAAAAACTGGTGCCCCCTAGATACCTTCTGGGCTGAGTACCTCACTCCCTCCCCCTCACCTGCCCAGCCAGTCCTCAGACACGCTCCTGCTTGACACTGCTTCCTCCTACCAGCACCGTCCTCCACAGCATAGTGGCCTCTCATCACTTTATGGGTCCTTCTACTGCCTTCTTTTCTGTCTCTACTCACTAGCGAGGAAACCCTGCGAGGCAGAGGTCTCTGTCACATGGAGTGGGAGCTTAATAAACATTTGTGGAATGATGAGTGCATGAGTGTGAACATCAGGAGACTCTGTGGGACCGGGAGGAAGAGGAATAGTGCCTGAGTGATGGCTTCTCTCTCTACCTTGAGTGCACACGCGTGGGTCTCTCCACTCCTGGGTGAGGAGAAATGGGTTCTTCTCACACAAGTTTGTATCCAGTTCTCAAGCTAGGTGGCCTTGGGAAACCTTAATATAATGCAATGTCAGATCCTGGGAATCGGAAAGATGTGGATTCGGGAGCTATTTGGGTGACCTCAGGGGTCCAGTCACCTCACCTTGAGTCTGTGAGACTCAAGATATGATCAGTCCTATTAACTGGCCAGCACATAACTCTGTATCTGTCTCCCCTTTATCCTACACCCTTAACAAAGTCATCTCTACCGCTTACCCGAAGGGGTAGTCAGATCTTCATTCATTTAACATAATTTTCTGATCTTGTTAAAATGGGAACAAAGACATGGCCTTAAAGCAGGGGGAGTTTGAACTAGGCCTTGAAGGAACAGTGGGAATTTTCCAGGGAGACAAAGGGAGAGGGGAATTCCAGGATGACAGAATCACTTAAACAAAAGCAGATAGATCTTAGAAAAAAGGAACTCCGGGTACCTGAGGGAAGGAAGCCGAGGGTGGGGTAGCATAACTGAAGTTGAGATGTCCCTGTGGAACAGCTGGAAGGGCTTGAAGGCCACACCAGATACCCTTCGAAGTCATGGGAACCATTAGAGGTTTTTCAGTGGAAAAGTGATGAACTCAGATGAATTTCTTTGAAAGGTCACTCACTCTGGGTAGCAGCTAGAAAGATGGGATGTTGGAAAGAGAGACGGAGGTGAGGCAACCACGTCAGAGATCTTGGCCGGAGGCCAGCTGGATCAAGGCTGGGACATGGTGAAGGGGGGTGGGTGGGCCAGGCTGGAGGGTGAGTGGCTGAGGCAGCAGCAGCATACCAGGGAGCACTGCCCCTGCTGCCCCTCCATCAGGCTGCTGTCCCCTCTGCACAGCCCTCTGGGTGGATCCCCTCTTTCCTGCCCCATCTCCCTGCAGGAGGTGCCCTCTCTCCTCCTGCTCCCTGGCATCTGGTAGCTAGTCTTCCTAGCTTCAGTTTTATTTCTTTTCCTGTATCATAGCAAGCATATCTTCTTTGTTATGTCAAAGTGTCCCCCAACAGAAGCCTGAGTGATATCACTCATCTTCCTACCAGCCTCCGCCTTCCCTTCAGCCTCCCCAGCTCGTTCATTGACCCTCCTGAAACCACAATGGAAGCATTCTCCACACAGCTTCCTCGCCACACCAGTCCTTATCTCAGGCTGGTTTTCAGCTTCAAATAAGTTTCTCAAAACCATCCTTTGAACACAGCCCCCACTGTTGCAAGGAGATCCAGGATGCATATTCAGCCATTGTTTCTTTAGCCTAGATTTGACAAAGTAGGGTGATACATATATTACAGACACCTCCCAACCTGCATCCGTGAGCCTTTGATGGGAAATATCTTATCCGGAATCAGTTTACTGGGCTCGGAACCCAAATTTCCTCTGCAAAGTGTCAGGCTGAGAAGCACTGCCCACACCTCCTCACAGGAATGTCGTGGTGCTTTGATAAATCTCAGAGCCTCTGTTTCCTAGAAGTGATCAGGGTCCAACAGAAGCTTAGTTCTAATCCAACACCTACTGCTCTGGGGTAAAACTAAATTTAAATTTTATTTCAAAACACTAAAAAGTGACTGCTGTGTTAGGTAAGATAAAAGAGATGATTTCAACCAACAATTATTGTCACCTTACTATGTTCAGCCCTCAAGATAACCAGAGACCCTCATGCAGTTCATATCTGGATGGGGTAGGGATGGGAGACAGTCTGAAAAATAATTGTTTACCACTTAATGTGATAATTGCAATACCATGAGTATGGAAAAAAAAAATACTCAGCTAACTGAGTGATGCCTGTTTTTGTAAAAGCTTTGCTTTTTCTATTTAAAAATATGATTAAAATCCATGCCGGGGAAGTTATGCTAAAATTTGCACAATGTTATAAGAAAGCAATATGAAAATGCACTTAAGGAATCAGAATAGGGAATATAATCCGCCACCCCCCCCCGCTCCCAATAAGCACTCCCCTAGAAATTTATCCATTTATAAATCAAAAGGAACAAAGATTCATTCAGATAGTCAGTATATGGCTTTCTAATAAAAATGGCCCTGTAACAGATATGCCAACCCAAGGATGAAGTATGTAGTATTTAAAACAATTGTGAAGGGCCTCCCGATCCCCGGCTGCTCCCCGAACACTGGAGGAGGGTCCCACATGGCGCGCAGACCTCTCCTGCCGCCCGCTGCTCCCCTCAGCAGTGTACTTACGTCCTTCTGCCTGTTCTGCTCCCTGCTCTGGCTCTGCTGAATTCTCTCACCCTCCCCGCGCTTCTGACTGTACCCAGTGCTTGTATAAATAAATAAATCTTAAAAATAAATAAATAAATAAAAGCAATCGTGGAGATTAGTAATTTGAATGCCATTTGGAATCTTAAGTAAAAGAAAGAACACACAATCCTCACATACGGTCTCTGCACTCCCAGTTCTCACTTTCCAGTGGGTTGTTACAACAGACGTCAGCAAGGTCTTTCTATCCAGGCTCCCATTCATCTCTCAGAACATCCCTGAGAGACGTTATTATGGTCTCCATTTTACAGATGGGGTTACTGAGGCTCAGGGAGAGTAAATGGCACACACATAATCTACAAACCAAGGAGCAGGAGCTCTGACCCAGGTCTCCTAATTCCTACTCCAGGGCTCTTTGCTTATTTCCATCAGCTTCTCTGGACTGCTGACCAGAACAACTGCTTATGCCACAGGCAGGTGGGGTGATGTCTAAATCCTCCATCTGCTGCTGGAAGGCCTTGAAGCCACTACTTCTCACCAGGAAACCTGGATGCATCACTGACCTAAGACATGTGAGCAAGTCCATAAGGATGCAAAGGGTGCCTAGGTTCTAGCCAGAAGCACAGTAGCTAAAAATAAGTTCATTGTGGGAGAAACATGCAACCATGGAGCCTTGACTTAGGCAATCACATAATTGAACCAAGAATTGGGTGGCAGGAATGGTGGGGGGAATAGCCACCGCCCCTCTGCCAAATAACCATCAAGTGCAGGCATTTCATTTGTCATACATTTGTATGTAGTTCATCCCTTCATCCATGAATGGACATTTAGATCATTTCCACATCTGGCTTTTGTGAATAATGCTGCATGAACATAGGAATGCAAATACCTCTTTGATTTCCTGATGTCAGTTCTCTTGGATAACTATTCAGAAGTCGAATTGCTGGATCATATGGTAGATCCATTTTTATTTTTTGAGGAATCTTCACACCGTTTTCTATAGCAGCTGCACCATTTTACATTCCCAGTGACAGTGTACAAGGGTTCCAATTTCAAAATACAAATAATGGAATACTAGACAGACTTGGAAAAAAAAGAAAACCTGCTACATGCATCAATATGGATAAACCTTAAAAACACTGTGCTAAGTGAAATACAACAGTCACAGAAGAACAATGTGAGATTCTACTGATGTAGGTATCTCAAATAGTCAATCTTTTAAGTTGAGGTCTACATTTCATAGAGTATGTTTTGGAGGATTTTCACATGTACACACCTAGGTAACCACTGCTCGAGTCAAGATATAGGACATTCTCGCACCCTCAGATAGTGCTCCAATTCCTCTTCCTAGTCAACATACCTAGGTGGCCATTAATCTGACTTCTAAGACCATAGCTTACATTCTTATCTTGCACAATATATAATATTTAATGTCTGATTTCTCTCTCTCAACATAATATTTTTGACATTCATTACTTTATTGTGTTAGCAATCATTCATTATTTTTAAAGAGTTATTTATTTATGCATACAAGAGGTGTATGAGGGTGAGGTGCGGGGAACGGTACAGGTCAGAGGTGCAGGGGCTGGTGAGAGGATTCACCAGAGACAGAGTGGGGAGCAGAAGAGGAGGACTAACTGAAATACACTGCTGAGGGGAGTAGGGACGAGTCAGGAGAGGTTTGCTGCACTATGGGGGTAGCTCCCTGACCAGTCAGGGAATCGAACTTGTGCTGCAATGGCTGCCAATAGCTCCATAGGTTGCTTCTTAACCCCTTTCACCACCAGTGAGTCCCAGGAATTTTTATTGCTGTGTAATATTCCATGCTATGAACATACCACAATATGTATATACATCATCTAGAGCTAAATCTATCTATCTCTACCTTCATGCATCAGATATTATTCTTTTAATTTTGTAGATAAGGAAATGATGACCTGGAGGGGCAAGGTAATTCACATAAAGTCACATAGCTGGCTCTGTCAAATGGGTCAGTATAGATTTGAACTAAGGTCCACCATACTCCAAAGTCTCATAGCCACTACTTCGGTAGTGGGGGTGACAACAGTCCAGCTTCTCAATCCCAGGAAAGAAGTGTGCACAGGAGCAGATGAACATATACAGACTGACTACAAGTGTACTGACTGGTACATGTGACAAATGATTCCACATCACCAAGTTCCCCTTTCCAGCCAGTTTTCCGCAGATGGATTAAGTGTTGGAAATTCAGGTACTTCCCAGCATAGGAGGCTGGGCTATCACTAAAGCCAGTCTCCATGCCTTTATGCAGTCTTGATCCTGAATTTAACAGAAGAGGTATTACTTTGATGTTCAAATCGTGCCTTTGATCAAAAGCTTGCTGGCTCCCTTGTGTCTCTTGGAACAAGACTGTAGTTCCATTGTGCTGGCGTGTGTTGTAACATTTTGGACAGCAGAAATGACATTTACATGAAACAGCTATCCTTGGAATGCACAAGATAAGACAATTTCAACAGCTCCTCCAAGAAGAGTCCCCAGCGTTGACTTTAAATCAAACAGAAGTAATAGCATGTCATCCGGCTTCCCCTTCTCTACCTGGTGTTAATTAAAATCCTGATAACAGAACTCAGTCAACATCCATAGACCAAAGCACGGCTTTAAAATGTTCAGATGAAAGTACAGTTAATCAGAATTCAAACCAAAACACACTCCCATCCCTCAGTGTTCATTCTCTTCTGGCCTCTCCTGGATGAGGTGATTAATATGCAGAGGTAATTTCTGTGGACAACACCCCCTCCGTTGTACTTCCTGAACTGAACCGTTTGAAATAATTGAACAATTACTTTGTGCAATGTTATCAAAGATTATTAAATTGTTCCCATCAGCTCTGTCCAATTACCAAATTCAGCTGATTTGCATATTGCACAGCAAAGTGGTGAAAGGGCTTCCCTGAGTAGAACCTAGTTATCTCTGAGCAGAGAGAAGCTGTAAAGTTCATTTGGTTTGAATCTGTTCTGCTTATAGATTAGAGAGCTGAGGCTTAGACAGGTGAACTGACAGGCCAAGGCCCACAGGAGCTACAGATAGACAGATAGGGCAGGGCTGTGCCCCCTCCACTCCCCAGAAACTCCCATTTGCCTGCAGAGCTCCAAATGGATAAGCTCATGTGGTCCCCAACGAGGCTGGAGTGTGCTTGCATGTTCCTGCACGTCTCAATTAGCTCCAATTTAGACTTGACATCAAGCATGAGCTTAAAATGCGAATCCATTTGGACAGAATGGAAAATAATAAAGACAGATTTTTCCAGTGCAATTTGACAGCTCAAAGATCTTGGAATTCTGAAGAGACTGAATGATTCTAAATAATATGTTGTTTTGGGGATCAAAAGCATAAATTCAACACTTTCTATCTCTATCCCTTGTCTCAGAAGCCTCTTCTTAGATGTCA